TTCATTTATTGATTCAAATCTTCTGTTGGAGTTTCTCAATTTTTTCCTTTTATTAATGACAAAGAAAAATTATTTAGAAGTCAGAGAGTTGGCTGTAGTTAATTAGCAATGGGCATTTCCGCTTTCTCTGAGTGTGTCTCCCAGGTCTGCGGGGGGCAGAAAGCGAGAGCTAAACTTCCCAGAGTGTTCCTGCAGATAAGGTTCTGGAAGTAAATTGGATGCTGCCCGTCAGAACTGACTATATGGTACGATTTTAATTGAGGTTATAAAATGGGAATTTTCGAAGGATGTTAAGGTCAGTCGGAGCTGCAAACTGGTTCAGTCTCTTTCAGTCACGGTTAAAGAAGGAACAGAAGAACAGAAACAAATTTTTAATATGCAGGTGAACTGGAGAACTTAAAACAGGAAAAGTGGTAAGTTGAAGCACTGTTAGAAATGTAATCTACTCAGAAAACAAAAGCAGTATGCATGTCACATAGCAACCAAATCTTCTGGGTTGACAACAACGGTGGCTGGAAGATGGTGGCCGATCAAGCTGCTCCAAATGTGTGTCACTATCCCTCATCCACTGGCACCCAAGAGTCCCAGATGGAGCTCAGTACATCTCTTCCAAATCTCCCATTCTAAGCCTGCAACTCATAAAATGTTCCTGTTCCAGTTAGTGTTTCAGATCGCTTAATTGCTTTAATTTATGAGGAAACTCTGGTGAAGTGGCCAAGAGTTGCACTAATAATCCAGAAGCAGGCGGATCAAATCCACCTGCTGCTCCACTGGAGAACGACGGGCAATCTCTTTTCAGTGCAATTGACAGTCTCTGAAACCTCCTACAGGGTCAGTTATAAGTCAATCACAACTCAGCGGCTCATAACAATAAATTTTTTAACAGTCTAGATCAGTGCAGGGTTCTGATACCAGTAAACATGCCTGTGCAGTCCATATGATTTTCTGAAGTGGTATTCAGAAGTATTCAGCTTCACCGGTAATGAGAAACAAGTCTGAAGACACCTTGTACAGTGTCCTAGTGTCTAGACCAACATGTAAGGATTCCGGATCCCTGCATGGCAGCCACTGCTGTGTCTCTGCTGTTCAACACACCACTTACTCGCCTCTCCCACTGCAGCAGACGCAGGCCACGGGTGAGTAACGGTCTCAAAGTCCTCCAGGCTCGGCAGAGGACTCGTTCTTCAAAACCTCACAGTAAAATGTGGATTTTTACATAGTAAGTCAGTTTATGTATAAAATAGCCACCATAGGTCTACCTGCAGACTAACACATCCAAGATATTAAAGGAGTTAGAAAAGAAAATGCTAATTACCATAATAACTTCTTTTACACTCCCTGAACTAATTAAAATATCTTTATAAAAAGGAACAAATGGTTCAAAAAAAAAATCCCTGCATAGGCTTATGAATATCTGATTAAGAAGGTCTACAGTGAATGGTATTCTAGTGGCAAGAAACTGCGCTGCAATCCCAAAGGCATGTGGTTCAAGGCCACCGCAATCTCCTCCCATGCAATTAATTGCCTCTGAAAACCCGCTGGATGGTCAACTAAGGGTCAGTTCTGATGCTACGGTACACAACAACAACACTGTGAATAACAGCACTCTGGTGTCTTAGGGGTAAGGAAGTGAACTGTCAACCCAAAGGCACACAGTTTAAATCCACCAATTGCTCTACAAGAGAAAGATGTGCAAACTACTCCCGTATGATGTATTGTCTCTGAAAACCTGCTGAGGGTCAACTATGATTGTCTTAACTTGATGGCACACAACAACAACAACAAAAATTATTAATAAAGGGGCTTTGTCAGAATATTAATATGTCAGGCTCCTAATAAAAATATTGCCCCATTTGAATCCACCAGGTGGCTAGTCTCCCCCATAAAGACTTACAGCCTTGAACACCAGATGCAAAGTCATCAATTGGATAGAAGTTTGCTTGGTTTGGGGGTCTATTATAATAAAGCAATTCTAGTGTCTTAGTAGTTGGAATCCAGCAGTTGCTGGAGGGGGCGGGAATGGACAATCTCTTCTGTGATATACTGCCTCTCGAAACCCACTGAAGCATCATCTGTGAAGCAGTTCTCACTTGAGGTAATGTAACCAGTGTCACAGTGACACAGTCACTGCCACAATGGGCTTGAATATGACAGAGATTGTAAGGGTGACACCGGAAATGGCAAGTTCAGATCTGTCATTTATAAGGTTTCTATGAGTCATAGTTGGCTCACTGGCATCTCTAATCACACCAACTGTGTCACAGTGTGTAACAAGAGGGCTTATGAACCAAAAAGTCAGAAGTTCAAATCCATGTGATTCAGGCTAAAGATGGGCAATCAGACAAAAGTTGTTGTTGTTGTTGTTGTTGTTATCTAACATTGAGTCAGAAGTGACTCACAGCTGATCCTCCAGCAGGTTTTCAAAGGCTGTGAGTCACACAGGAGGAGACGGTCCATCTCTCTCCTGCACAGCAGCTGGTGGATTCGAAACAACTGCTTTTGGGTTGACAGCGTAAATTCTTAACACTAATCTACCAAAGCGCCTATGTAAAAATTCAAAGCCTTGGATACCCAATGAAGGGTGAGATAGACTCTACTATAATGGGACGTCTTGATGAAGCAGTGGTAAGTACTCAGCTTGCTGAGCAAAGTGCTAATGATTTAAACTTTTCAGCCAAATGGAAAGACAGAGGCAGCAGCCTGTTTCCATAAAGGTTGGCTTCCATATTGCCTAAGGAACCCGCTGGGGCAGTTCTCTCTGTCCTATAGTGTCATTACGGATAGGAAACAGCTTGAAGGTTTGGGATTATTAACATGATAGAATATATTCATAAACTGAATTCTGCTTCTTTAAATAGCCTACTAAATGTTAAAGCAAACTCATTTGTGTCAAGTCAGAATCGACTCAGAGTTGACCTTCTATTGGGTTTTCGAAAGCTGTTATTCACACAGAAGATTGCCATCAAAAGCGTAGCTGGTGGATTTGAACCACCAGACAGAGTTGGTCTTTGGGTTACCAAGTTATCCTTATGAACTATACTACCAGAGCTCCCTTTAGGATTCAGTAATCACATGACTTAAGTTAAAAATATACATTAACCTAAGCAAACCTGCATATAATTGATATTGATAGAGATGACTAAATTATAAGAAGATGGCAGCACAATGTGATTCCTCCTCAAACCTATGTAACCAGATATTTTAAGAAATCAACTTTAACCTAACAGTCAAAAAATAAGTATACTCTCTTTTGCCTAGAATACTATTTTAAACTTTCATATTGCATATATATTTTTCCTCCCAAGTCAAACTAGTTTAAAGAAAAGTTAAAATAAAAAAAATTATATATACTGGATTGAAATACAGACTGCATTTAAAATACTTATTCATTTACTCAGTAAATGTTTATTGAGTATCAACTCTACAAAGTTAGTAATGAAAATAACAAACACAACTTAAGGCTCATTTTGGCAAAAGGCTAAAAGTATAACAGATAAAACAACAGGGTACTGTAAAAATAAGAGACAAAGAACAATAAAAACAAATTGAAAATAAAAATGTTTAGACAAAAATAAATGAGATTAAGGAAGGGAATTTTATCTACCCTAGACAGAATAGCTACATTTAGTAAGAGAATGCAGAGGAGATGTAATTGTCAGCTAGGTAGTTAGAAGAAATTACAGGTAGGGCGACACAAGTCTTCAAAAGTCTTTCATTCCAGGGAGCTCTGGTGGCATAGTGGCAAGTAGCTGAGCTACCATCACAAAGGCCACAGTGCGAATCCACCAGATGCGTCACTGGAAAAGGATGGGCAATCTCCTGTGCCAGTCGGATCCAATTTGACAGCATACAGCAAGTAGTTAAAAAAAAAAGTCTTTAATTCTGTTATTCCCTTAATGCACCCTACAAAGCAATACCAATATTTGCTATGAAATGTGTCAAATATTTCAGTAAGCATATAGAAAATTCTGTTTTATGGTCTGTCCATAAAAGAAACATCCAGACAACTTTCCATTTCTTGATTCTATGAGTATATTATTGCCATTGTATTGGAACTGACTCCATTGGGTTTCTGAAGCTGTGAAGCATAAAGGAAGAGACTGCCCATCGTTTCCCTGGTGGAGCCGCTGGTGGATTCAAATCACTGGAGATGAGCACCCTTTGGATTAGCAGAGTCACTTACTACGGACGACATCACTAAAACCGCACTGTGGGTATGCACCAGACACATTTTCTCTGCACTCTCTATTCTGTTAAACAAAATATTTTAAAGGGTGTATACTTTAGGGTGAATATTTATAAAATAAATTAACGTGCATAGCCATTAGGATAATAGCACACCCCCCTACAGACTAGACCACCAAAGCTCCCTATCTACTTCTCTATTGAAAAAATTAATAGCAACTATATTAATGAAAGATAAATTAAATGCACACAGAAATGAAAAATGTACATGAAATTGTACATTTTTAGTACATGCATAACTATACAAAAAATGTGAAGGTACTAATATAAATATAAATTAATATGCATGAAAATGTACATAAAGGAGCTCTGGTGGACTAGTGGCAAGAAGCTGCTGCACTGTAATCCCAGAGGCACACGGTTCGAATCCACCAGATGCTCTGCTGGAGAAGGAGGGACAATCTCCTGCTATACCAGTCAGATTCGATTTGATGGTATACACACAAAAATAATAAAATTAAAAAAAGAAAATGTACAAAAAAGTGAAAAGAAGTATAAATATACACAAAGGGGAAGAGAATAAGAATAAATACTTCATTCATTTACCTGTACACTTTTTGTCAGTATTGTACCAGAAAGCCCAAGCTCCCTATATGTGGGAGACTTTTTGAACTGTCATGTAAAACTTCAACAAGCAGACATACAAAGGGCCAGAGTCAGGATGTATAAGTAATAAAGTTGGCAACTGGTGAAACTCAACATCAACGGCAATAAGTCAGGAGATAGGGATGAAGGAAGTAGAGGGAAGAGGTTACCTTCCTATCACAGGTTTTGGGGCTGCCAGCAGTGTTTTGTTTGAGGAAACCAGCTGTTGTGGACCAGCGTGTGGGATTTTTCCGTGAAGGTTCTTCAGAGGAAAAATTATTATCACTGACAGAAGTTGAGAGGCCAATTAAAGCTGGGTCACTGCTTCGTCGGACGTGAAGAGGCATATCTACAAACAAACAAACAAAAAAAAATCCACTATGGTTAAAAAAATAGACACTAATGTCTAAACACATATGTAAGAATGAAATAAATTCTAAATAGTATTATTGAGGAAGTGATAGTGAGTCTATATTCTATACAGAAATATAATTAGTTTTTCAAAATGTTTATGGTCAAAGAGATTGGTAGACGTGGTATTGCTTGTTTGCTCAATGCCATCAAGTTGGAACTGTCTCTTAGGTGACCCTCCAGGAGGTATCCAGAGGTTGGAAATTATATAGGACATGACTGCCCATCTTTCTTTCATGGAGTTGGTAGATTCAAAGTAACTGTCTTTGAGTTGGCAACACAACTCCTCACTCCCTAAGCCATCAGAGTTCAAGGGCGTAAGCTGTTCTGGAAGCAAGGCAGCATTCCAGGCCCAGCACTTGTTAACTCACGTGGCTTTGGATAATATCATTAACTTTTCTCTAATCCATTCCCATTAAAAAAATAAAAGAAAAGCACTGCTTTTATAAAGTACTTGTAAGAATTGAATAAGCTAATGTTATTAATAATAATAACAAAAATAGCAACCTAAGTAATAAAACAAACTCCACTTTTAAGTGGTATCTGAAGGCTAAAATCACAGAATTTAAACAATATCTGATTAGTCCATAAAATTCCCACCAAATACACAAATTTAAGTATTATCATAAAAGATGGGTGGGACAACAACAAAACCCTTTTCTCTTAGCCTTAAGAGAAATGAAATTGCTAAACTAGGATATGAGTAAGAAAAAAGAAATCTTGACAGTTACCCACTAGTGAGATATAAAACCTACAGTCATCAAGTCAATTCTAACTCATGATAACCTTCCCTCAGGTTTCTGAAGTCGAGATTGGCCAACTATCCCCTTAGAAGCCACTGGTGGAGTGGAACCTATGATCTTTTAATTACCAGTGCAACACATAGCACAGACTACCACCAGAGTTCCCAACAATACCTGCTATGCACTCACATAGACAATTTCACATAAGAGACTAATATAGCAGCTCTAATCCTAAAGAAAAGGAACTTGTTACTAAATCACTGTAACAGATCAGTAACACAGACTCGGGTAAGCATTTGTAGCCTTACATTAAGAATATCCTGTTTGATGGCACTGTTACAGAAGAGAAGAACAAGAACTGCAAACAGCAAAGAGAGGAACGGGAGCTATGTTGACCTAACGGGTAAGGAGCTGCACTGCCAATTCAAAGGGAGGCAGTTCCAACTCAACAGCTGATCTGTGGGAGAAAGATGTCCAGTCTCCTCCCATGTGATTTATACTTTCTGAAAACCCACTGGAGGGTCAGCTATGAGTTGGTTCCACCTCAATTACAGAGTTGAGTTATGCAATATTCAGAATATGAGCAAAAAGTCTCACTGTTCAAGAATGTAAAACAATCCAGAGGGGGATTCTAGACATAAACAAAATTTTAATTAAATTGTTGTTGTTGTTGTTGTTATGTGCCATTGAGTCGCTTTCGACTCATAGCGACCCTATGTACAACAGCCCTAAACTCTGCTCTGTCCTGTGTCAATCGCACTGTCTCTGACACTCCCATCCCAATTATCCCAGTCACTGAATCAATCCACCTCATAAAGGGCCTTCCTCTCCTGCGCCGTCCCTCCACCCTCCCAAGCATGATGTCCCTCTCTAAGGACCGGTCTCTTCTCACAACATGTCCAAAGTATGTTAGACTGAGCCTAAGAATCCTTGTGTAGAATATTCTGGTTTCATAAACAAGAATAAAAGGTAAATATTTATTCTTGTGAAAAGCAGAGCTTATTTGTCCTTTTGTGACTGAGATATTTCACTCATATGGTGCCACTGTTGTAGAATGAGGCTGACATTGGGGTAGGGGTAGGACTGAGAAAAACGATAAATTATGTTTACTGCAGTGAGTCCAATGAGGAAGAGAATAGTTTAAAATTAATATATTTTAGGGCATTATGATTATCATAAGAGTCCGGAATGAGGGTTGCAGAGAGGAGAATATTTGGGGTGGGGGTGGGGATGTGTGGGGTGCGGGAAGGGATTGTGTACCAATGAAGGAGCTTGTCTTTTGCTTTTCAAGGAGAGGAGTGACCTGGGGATGGGAGTGGGGTAGATGGGGAGAAAAGTGCAACAATGAATGAATGGAATTTAAAAAAAAATTAATAAAAATTTTTTTAAAAGCTGAGCTTATTTTAAATCTTTGATGAGAAACATTTTCAAACATCATTCATAGTTGCCAGGCATCAGTGTGTATGAGTTTAGTACAGATGCTTGATATGCTACACCTGGCAATATAGAGTAATAGATATGTATAGAGTGTATAAGTGTGTACACAAAGACACTATTGTTGTTGTTGTTGTTATGTGCCGTCAAGTCGCCTGCAACTCATAGCGACCCTATGCACAAGCACATGAACTATATTAATACCTCAGATAATTTTTATTTCTCCATTATTACAATTTGATAGCAATTATAGAGCCTGACCAACATGACCGGAGATGGGAAAATGTTGAAAACTTAATATGGTTGGCAGTTATCTTAATTTGTTGGGTAAAACACAACATGCAAATTATAGAGTATAATTTCCAGTTTTTAAGTGTGTTACCTGTGACAGCTCTTGCTGTTCTTAATTTGCACAAGAAAATAAAATCCCCAGAAGACTTACAAAGACAACCTAACAGGTCATGTTCACAAAAATATACCTCAAGGACTCATGTGTTTAATGCTATAAATGTTCTTACTATATCAAAATTGTTCTGCCAGTGGGAAATTAAATATTGCAGAACCATAAAAGAAAAGAGAAAATAAAGCAATCACAAAAGTAGCATAAATGTGGGTGAAAGAAAAAAAATCAACTTTTGTACGATTATAATACTTATTCAGACACTGGCTCTACTGCTTTACCATAGTAGGATCTTTATTCAGTTCAAGTCTCTGGGTTGTGCAAACTCTCCTTTCCCAATTAAAAAGTTGAAAGTCAGTATTCACCCAGAAAAAAAGACATAGAAAACTACTTAAAACAAACAAACAAACAAACAAACCCAAAAACCTCATGGATCATAATTCCACTCAGACACACATGACATTATCATGAGTGTTTTAATTATCCAGTAGCTGAGCAACTCTGAATATGTCAGCAGCTGTTTTCCTTTCTTAAAAATCTTAAAGGACATTGCAATCCCAGAGGCATGCAGTTCAAATCCACCAGATGCTCTGCTGGAAAAGGAGGGACAGTCTCCCCCTGTACCAGTCAGATCTGATTTGACGGTACATGCACACAAAATAATAAAATAAAATAAAATTAAAAATCTAAAAGAAGCACTACTAACTCCTAAGAAAAGCTTTTAAAGTTGAGTCTGAAAAATAAGTAAAAAAGATTGTGTTATATGATAATGATCCAAAGCAGTGTCTACTATTGTAAAAAAACAAAAACAAAAACCAACCAAACAAAAAAGCACCCTACATAAAAATATCTTTAATCCCAAAGCAAATTCAGGAACTTCATTAGCAAAAAGTCTTGTTATTGTTATCATGTGCAGTCGAGTCACCTGTGACTCATAGCAACCCTATGTACTCTGAACCCTTGCCTGTATGGAGCCAGTCTCACCTATTCTGACATACCAACCCCCATTGTCCAAGTTACTCTATCCATCCATCTCATCCAGGGTATTCCTCCCCTGTGCTGTCCCTCCACCCTTCCAAACATGATGTCCTTCTCCAAAAACTGGTCCCTCCTGTCCATGAGACGGAGCTTTAAAATTCTATTGTCCAAGAAGAAACTTGATTTTACCCCCTCCAAGACGGAACTATTTGTTTTCTTGGCTTTCTATGGCATATTCAAGACTCTTCCTCTTCTCCAGCACCACAATTTGAAGGCATTGATTCTTTTTCTGTCATTCTTAGTCACTGTCTAGCTCTCTGATGCTTAGCAAGTAATTGTGAAGACCATGGCCTGGAATAGGTATACCTTAGTATCTAGACTGACATAGTTCCTTCTCTGCACTCTGGAGGGGCCCCTGGCAGCAGATTTTCCCAGTGCAAGTCATATTTTGATTTCCTGACTGCCGGTGTCAAGAGTATTGACTGTAGAGCCATGCAAGCTGTAACTGTTAACAACCTCAATCTCTTCTCCATCTATAATGGTGCTGCCAAGTGGCCCAGTCATGAGAATCTGTCTTCTTGATGTTGAACTTTAATACATTTTGAAGACTACAGTCCTTGACCTTCTGCAGCAAGTGTTTCAGGTCCTACTCAGGTTCAGCAAGCGAGGTTGTGTCATCTACATAATGTATGTTGTTGTCTTCCTCCAATCTTCATGTTACATTCCTCCTCATAAAACCCTGCTTCTTGAATGATCTCTTCCACATATAGACCGAAAAGGTATGCAGACTTGCTTTCAAAATTTCTTCATAACAATTAAGTTAGCTAAATAATCATCATATACTGATGATCTACTGGACATAATCATGGTATTACACTACTAGCCTAAAACTGAGAAAAATAATTAATATTTCACCTTCTTGTATCTGTAACTTTCAAGATAAAATTGTGGATTCATAGAGGAAGAAAAAGAGAATTAGAAAGTATGTGGATGAATGGGTTAAAGCAGTGCATGAAGGCTCTGAGGGGCAGTCTCATAGGAGTAAAGAACCATCTGGGTATGGCACTTGGAACTCCATTTACATATACACAACATACTCTATGTCCCCTGGTAATGATGCTAAAGTCAAGATTTGCCAGAGGTCTGAAGTGCAGAAGATACACAGTGCACACTAGTAGAATGACCAGGTCTACCTGAGACCACCGCACAAGGTGGGTTCCTTGTTCATATTTGCCTTTGAAAGAGACAAGCCATCATTATCATGCATGTTACTGCCATCTACCTGGGTCTGTATTGGTTTGCAATTTCTTCTTGGTTTTGCGATTGTTATAATAATTATAAGGTGTATTCATTATCTAGTTTATGAGGCACTCTGGTGCCACA